GTATATATATATAGATATGTTAAAATGTATTTAATAAATATCTTATATTTAATATATTTTACTTGCAATTTTTAAAATTTTTGAATTGTTGCTTTTGTTGTTGCCTGTGTCCGCTTCTTCGTCTTCTTCCTCCTGCAGCAGCAATGGCAGTGATGTTGGAGATGTTTTTGTTTCGTTCTGTTAATGCGCTACTACCAGCTGGAACTTCTCCTATTACGCTCAAAGAGGAGCATTGAGCACCGCTCAAACTTTCCGGTTGCTGTTCTTGATCTTGAGAACGCTGCTGCTGCTAGTTATGTGGTTGTTGTTGACTGGTTGATGCAATATCAGCACTTAAAATAGCTTTTCCAGTGACTGCTTCTAATGCAGATGCATCAATGATATCGGCAATTGTGCTAGTGCCGTTGAATGCGCATTGGTGCGTTTGAAGCTGTTGCTGTTGTTGCTCTACTAATTGTAATTGCTGATCTTAAACAATAGGCAATGGGAATATTGCTTTCTGATGTTGCGGTTGCTGTGATTCAAGTTGTGGTGATAACGGTGGTGGTAGTAGTGCGTGTTGGAATATGCCAGCTGCTTGCAATGGTGCTACTCTTTTTCACTGCTGACTATTGCGACGCATTGCACTTCACCATTTTGGTGTAACATCTCATCATCTGTGGACTAGTACCGCGGAACAACAAACCAAGTGTACAAAATCAATATATCAGCTTAATGTAATTTCTTATATTCCTCCTGGCAGGGTCGCCAAATGTAGGTATTTATTTTAAATAACAAAACTTATTTTATTTTCTGTTGTACACAATTTGAGAAAAGTTTGAATAATAAAAATTTTCTATTTGATTGACGAATCACAAAAATCACATAAATCTAAAATTTCCAAAATTACAAAGTTGAAATGAATACAGTACAATAAAAGGTAATAACACAAATACAAACCCTACAGAGGTGTTATTAAATAAGAAAAGTCGACATATTAGTATTGCATTGGCTTTATTCAACAGGGTATTAATTTTCGCTTGCATTCTTTTATGCGTAGCTTGCACTTTATGCCTTTTAGTGTATTCTTATAGCCAAATAATTTGGCATGTGTCAAGTTACATATAAGACATTGTTGATTAGTGTACGCAAATGACGCAAAATGTGGAATATGCTTATGTCAACAAAAACGTGGTAATAAAGCATTTGCATTTATTATGCTTATGCGAACCAAAACGTGGGAATAAAGCCTTTACAATAATTTTGCTTACGATCTAAAGTTTTTATGCCCTTATTATTTAGTTACGTAAGCATTTAGTTTATATAAAAACGTAATCATTAATTCAATAAAGATCACTTGAAAGCAATCAAGCAAACAACACTGTTCGAACTTGGAGTAATCGCTACTGTTAAGAACATTCTGGTGACCCCTGTGAAAGGACATTCAGCTTAAACAAGGCCAGTACAGCATTTTAAGGAGCCACAAAACTAATCTGAAAGAAGAAAAATGGATCGTTTCGAGGATTTGGCCAGACAATAAAGAGAAACGGGAGGCAATATTGAATCAATTGTCCGAAACTTCAAAAAGGACCCGCAATCAAGGAAGCAGTCAATCAGCTATTACGAAGATCGATTGAGAAGACTGGACAGCGAGTAGTCGAAGTTTGAAACAACTGACAACAAATTTCGACTGCTTGAAAACCCCCAGCTAGATCACGACTACTTTACAAAGGACTACTATAACAATATAATGGAAATTGTAAATCAGTACAAGGAGATTTTCGAGTCCGCAGTGCTCAAATCGGCTCAAACCCCGACGAGAGAATTGCGCTTAACAACTGATGAAGGAAGTACGTACCAACATGATGCTTCAGCTTCAAACGTCAACACAGAAGCACGGCATGATACTGGAACCAAACAGGCAGCTTCCAACGAGTACACTAAACTAGTTCGCAGACAAGGGGTAATGATGGCCTCGTTGCGACGGTTACTGAACGACAACGTTTCACCACAATGTATTCCAACAATTAATAAACTATGGAAAAATATAGAAGACATTCACTTCAGGATATATGAGATGTTCGACAACCCAACCGAGCAGGGCTACAAGGTCGATAACTTCATTTCACTTGAAGAAAAGGTATGGAGTACTTTGCAAGCAGCTAATAGTGACTCCCATACTGAGCAATCTTCAAACCAACATCCGATTAAACTGCAGTCCATTTCATTGCCGAAGATAATAATTCCAAAATTCGATGGCACCTATTTAAAATGGCAGAATTTCATGACTTATTCTCGCAACTGGTAATAAATCAACCTCTTTCAAAAGTTCAGAAAATGTGGTACTAGAAAACTCACTTAGTGGGGGAGGCTGGAAATCTAATTAAACATTTCGCATCAACAGGTGAGAATTTTGATGCACCTTGGTTCATGCTTCTGGAGCGTTACAACAACAAACGCTTGCTGGTGAGCAAGTTAGTACATGAGCTAACTACTACACCTGGAAGCACATCAATGGACAATGTCAAAAAACTGCATGACACANACCGCAAAGCACACAAAGTCAAACACATATGTACTACTCAGCACTGCCATGGTGAAAGTTAGAGGAATCGGAACAGAAGTGCAGTGTCGGGCAATTCGCGATTCAGGCTCACAAGTTAATTTTGTGACTGAACGATTGGTTAAACGTCTTGTCATCTTAACTAAACCATCATCAATCTCCATTAGTGGCATCGGGTCAAGGAGCACTAAGATACAGCATCGAGTCAATGTGGCGCTACAGTCTCGGATCAACAACTTTACAACGCGGCTAGAGGCAGCGGTATTGCCTCAGATTATATCCCCGCAGCCTTCGCAAGAAATCAAGATCGACGAATGGAAAATTCCTGTGAACATCATGTTAGCCGATCCATCATTCAATCGTCCTGACAAAATTGATATATTGTTGGGGGCGGAATTCTACAACCAACTGATGGCAGCAGGGCAAATCAAACTGTCAGATGACCTACCCATTCTGCAAAATACAGTGCTGGGATGGATCATCGCGGGAAAAGTTGGTGGCAACTACATCTCAAATGCAATATGTGGAATCTGTTCCAACGATGACATCAACTTAGATGCAGCCATTGCTCGAGTATGGGAACTTGAGGATGTTCCAACTGTAAGAAAACAACATTCCTTAGCAAAAAACAGTGCGAAGCTCATTTCGCACAACATACACTCATCAATGAAAATGGGAGATTCATGGTAAGGCTACCATTTCATGAAAATCCGGAGGCCTTAGGGGAATCCTATGGGATGGCGTATAATCGATTCCTGGCCTTAGAACGTCGACTGGCAAAATCGCTCCAGACAAAGAATCAATATGTACAATTTATGGAGGAATATGAGAACTTGGGGCACATGACGCAAGTGGATATTGATTCCATCAGTAAACCTATGTACTTCATTCCTCATCATTGCATTGTGAGACCCGAAAGCCGCACTACAAAATTATGTGTGGTGTTCGACGCATCAGCAAAATCGTCCACTGGCATGTCTTTGAACGACCTCATGTATACCG